TATTGTTTATAAGCAGAGACAAACGCCAGATCTTTCGACATGCCCGATCGGGAAGGTTTTCAAATGTCGTGGTATTCAAAGAAAGAATGGCTTAGCCAGTCAGGCTTAGGCTAAATAAGCTATTGCCTATTGGTATTTAGTTATTGTTACATGTATTTTGTCTTGAATATTTAAGCCTTCAACCCGAGCATAGGCGTATAAAGCATCGAACGCTATATATGAAATACAATGTCAATGTCGAGGTCAATGTAGTAAACAATGTAGTTCTATAAATAGAGCTGCAAAGCTTATACATTTCAACACGCAACACAAACATTTTAGCGATTGTGATTTAGCAATATATTTGATATATACTTGTTTGTGAAACAAACAAAGAAATTTCAACATATATTGTTAAATTGTATTTACCATTTGGTACATACTCCCCGTGCGTTCGAAAATATCCAATATTGGCAATAGCCAATAATCGATATGAATGCAGAATTCGGCTATAAAACTGACAGTAAAACTTCTACTCAAACATCTGATAATGCTTAATTCATTTCTGTATGTAATATTGTAATAATTGGGCGATTGATTTTAAATTAAGGAAATTGATCAAGGCTCATGCGTTATATTTTCCAAGTCCTGCATATTATACTTATATTCTAGATTATACTGACTGTATTAGCAGCTATTTGTCATTATGTTCCGTTAGTATATGTGGATAAAATTGTATCTAGTTCTGGAAATGTGAAAACTCTTCAGACTTCACGTTGGAATACTACAAGGGGATAGCATATCAAAGTAATCAATTGAAAATTAGGTAGTCTATACAGACGATGATAATACAGAACATGCATGTAATATTTTCTGATCGAAAAGAAATGCACAATTGCCGGTATGACTATAATTAGCGGAACTGCAGACCACAGATTTCCTATTTTTGTATCGATCTTCATTATTGTTGTCTGAAATATGCCAAAATATCCACATATTTTCCCGTCATTAGGTCAAGCTATTTTCTGAAATTTGTTGCTCAGATTGCTGCAAATGGCGTTTCTGGGGTATATATTTCAAAAAATTTCCGGGGGGGCATGCCCCCGGACCCCTCTAGGATGTCTCACGCCTTCGGCGCTCGTTTGCATGACCACTCACACGACGCTGGCTTCGCCACTGCGCAGATGTTATATATCACTCAATCGATTCTGACCAATACGCATATAAAGTGGGACATAACTCAACGATGGCTTTAGTTGGATAATGGTGTGAAATATGTGAGAGTACTATCATTTGACTTTAGCAAGGCTTTTGACAGCGTTCCACACGACATACTATTTGGAAAAGTTAAGAAATTGCCTTTTAACCCGTACATCATAAATTGGATGATAGACTTCTTAAAAGATCGCAAACAGAGAGTAACAGTTGATGGCATCACAACCGAGTTCTTGAAAATTAATCGTGGCGTGCCTCAGGGCACTGTTCTAGGCCCGATACTATTTTCATAATGGTAAATGACATTAAACCAGTCAATCCAATCAATGAACTCTGTAAATTCGCTGATGATATAACAATAGAAGCCCCGGGCTATGATGAGGATGATACAGGTGCTGAAGAGGTAGAAAATATGAAATTATGGTCAGATGAAAATCGAATGGTGCTGAATATGAATAAAACATACAAAATGATTGTTCGTGGGAGAACATCTATACCTCTACCCAGTTGCATTCCGTCCATCAAACGGAAAACATGGCTCACGATACTTGGAATTACCCTTGAGGAAATACCGGGAAATTGGGACATACACTTCGAAGAGATGCTTAAAAAAGCGAGTGGTCGAATGTACATTTTACGGGTGTGTAAATATTAAACAAAGCAGTTAGAACTTCTCTTCAGAGTTTAATAATGTCATTATTCACTTTCGGAACTGAACTTTGGGGAGGAGCATCTTACACTAAATACATTAGTCAGATTGATAAGTTTATAAATCGTGCATACCGTAATGGGTATGTAACAGAGAAATCCAATTTTAGAGAAATAATTAATAAGAGAGACAACAGATTATGGAAAAAAATATTAGATGATGAAAATAATGCACTAAGAGAACTTTTACCAAATAAATTAAATCGAACGTTAAGGCAAAGGGGACATGACTTTGAGCTGCCCTTAGTAAGAACTGAAAGATTTACAAAATCTTTTGTAAATAAATGTCTTTTCAATTTTATCTAGTGTATGATACATTTTAATAATTTTTAACAATATTGTAGAATTTTACTAGTTTTATTAAATCATTGATGTAAATAATTAATGTAAAATAGACTATATTCTTATAATTCCATGTAAACTCGGACGTGTGTTCCGAGTATTGATTAATAGGCTTTACTTAGATCTATAAGTTATAAAAGTTATTTGTGTAATGTACTGTACTAACGTGCTTGGCTGCTTGTTGTTTACTTGGTCTCACGGCCTTCCTGAGGCTCCATATGATTCTGTTGCAAAATAAGTTTTTGGTTAGGCTAGTGATTTGTTCGAGAAATAGTTAGAAATATTGACATTCACTTAATGACCTATTCCCATGTGTACCTCAGTACTTTTGTCACGAATCGTGCATGCGAAAAGTCATTGTGCTCGGTGTGCAACAAGCAGCAAAGTCTAGTTATAATGTTGGGGTCAGGTGTCAATTGGGACGCAAGTCCTGTTCCTTTCCCCAGTCACACTTATGTCCTCTGTTTATTGTAGATGTATGCGTAATGATTGTGTTGTGACAAATGATTAAATTAAATTAAATTAAATTAAATTAAATTAAATTAAATTAAATTAAATTAAATTAAATAAAGACTATTATTATTATTATTATAAATATAAGCTACATTTGCAATATATTTCGCTAATTTGCGATTATTTTCTAATTTTACTGCAGTTTTAATTTATATTCAGCCGTTTAGTGGGCCGGCTATAATTGTAGTTGTGATCGTAAGATCGTTATAAATTATATCAACAACAATAGTATAATCTAATTAGCACCAGCCAATCAAATGACAAATTTAAAAAATCGTTTGTCTAATCGGCCAATCAGACAAAAAAGCCAGAATCTGGCTTTTTACATGCGCCGCGGTAAAGAATTGTATCAGGCCTTCCTTCATTCGCTGCCACCAATTAATCCTGGTGAATGAAAACATAAGGGCCTGATACTCAGGTTAAATATAGGGATAACCTCAAACTTTCCTTTTCCTCTGTCACTGTAATTGCACGCTTCAGTTTCATTGTGAATAATCCTTTATTGTATTGTATTGTATAGCAACATATTCATTGGCATAAGCATACAGGAGGGAAAAAAATAGCAGGGCAGAAAGAAATTTGCCCAACTTTTTTGTATTTTGCCCAACTTATCAAAACATTTTTTCCATGGTAAACTTCTATTAATAGTTGTTTCAAATGACCTAAACTTTTTTCTCACTAACCAATTTCTTGCATGTTTTTGGCCATTGTACGCTTATGGTCATTGATATATGCTAATAAGTTGACCACCTAACAGCTAGGGCATTTGTGGTGGGCAATGTCATTAACGTTGCCATCCGGTCACAGAATAGAGACATACAGAAGATTGACTCAACCCAAAAAGCATAACTGCTGCTACCCATTAATTTGCAATGATTCGTCATCAAAAAGCTGTCGACATGGTTTTGAGAGGCATTCAGCCCCTGAAACACAGAATAGAGACACACAGAAGGTCGACTCAGCCAAAAAAGCATAACCGCTGTGGCACCATGATTCACAATGATTCGACATCAAAATGCTGATGCCATGGTCCTAGCCCAGTTAACTCCATCTATTTTGTCTGGAACGATAACATGCAGGAGAAATGTGAAGCCAATGCCAACACCACTTCTCGCCAACATGCTGACGCATGCTGATTTGTAATAGGTCATACAGTGATGGCATATAAGGGGACTGAAATTGACATACCATATATGGCGTGGTAGGCTGCAACGCCACTGCTCACATGTTGCATATGTGAGGCTTCACTCTTTAACTGCCATATGACTGAGTGTTATAAGTAAAATAAATTAAATTAACTGGCCTAGCTAATGCACTTATGAGAGGCGTTCACCCCCTGGACCTCCCTGGATGAGAGGCTTCACCCATTTTCAATACCTACTCTTGTATTAAAATTAAGGTAATTCAGCAGTTTTGCATTGCGCACTTTTACTGCGCACATCTTATAACTTATAATTTCATCCATTATACGTACCGTTTAAAAAAAATCATTTTATGACAATTTTATGTTACTTCAAAACATCTTTGGTTACATTCGTGCAAAGAATTACGTTAAAAGTAATGTTTTCAAAAAAGGCATACAAAAGTGTAGCTAGGGTTCCCTGTATCTGTAGTATATTTATTTACTTGTATTCACATTTTAGTGACACAATTCCCTAAAAAGATCGGTGAGTCCCGTTTTTTAACTGATAATTTATTTCTTTAATGCATTTTACATTTCATATCTAAAATTAAAAGAAAAATCATTTCTGGATCTTGAAAAAAAATCCTTTATCAATGCATGTTCTCAAAGAAAGATATGTAAAGAAACGTGGAAAAGACATTTGTGGATCAGAATTGTACACATTAGTAGTTTTATTTTGCTCAAAACACAATATTTTTTCAAAAATAATTGCAAGATAGGTTTACTAAAACAAAATCCGGGCTAAAAACATCAATAAATATCGGGCTGTTGTGATTTTGCTGTTACTCGTAATGAGCGTGAAGATGGCACAATATTGGGGTAAAGGTGGTATATTGTGATTGTCATATCTTCTTAACAAGTACGGTGACCCCGACTTTTTTGTGTAATTTTACTTTAAGTATATTATAAACTCCATGCCTGGGAAGTTTCAGCACATTCTCATTTCGTGAACAATTACTGCGGAATTACCTTAAAGTACTCTGGCCATGGCAACAGCATTGCAACGGTTATGCCAAAATCATAGGCAAACAGGGCAAATGCCCCCCAGTCCCCCCTTGTGCCCCCCCCCCCCCAGGAAAAGTCCCTTTTTCCTAAAATTATACATTCAAACAAACCAGCGAAGAATAACAAATAGATAAATGGAAGGTAAGTTTTGGGCTTTTTCCTTTGTCCTTGTTAACAAAATCGATTTAAATTGTTATCACTCATGTTTTTCTACCACTAAGTAATGATAAATTATTGTTAATAATTTTTTTTATTTTTTGGATGCTCAGAATGCAGGAAATAGTATTTCCGGATCTCAAATTTCAAAAATTATCCCCCTCTAATAGGTAATGATAAACTACGGTTAATATTCTTTTTTACTTTTTGTGCATTTTTTCCTTCTTTTATTTCAAATACAAGTATAGTTAGCATAAATTTTTGAGCAAATTTGGATGCTCAGAATGCAGGAAATGGCATTTCCGTGCTTCAAATTTCAAAAATTTTCATGACCCAGACCCCCCATTCATGTGCGGTATGTTGGCCACACACATGCCATTGCTATCCCCCTCAAA